CTGCTACTGCTACTGCTGCTGCTGCTGCTACTGCTACTGCTGCTGCTGCTACTACTGCTGCTGCTACTACTACTAATGCTACTGCTGCTGCTACTGCTGCTGCTGCTGCTACTGCTACTGCTGCTGCTGCTACTACTGCTGCTGCTGCTACTACTACTAATGCTACTACTGCTGCTGCTGCTACTGCTGCTGCTGCTACTACTGCTGCTGCTGCTACTACTACTAATGCTACTACTGCTGCTGCTGCTACTGCTGCTGCTGCTACTGCTGCTGCGTATCCCTTACATCATCACTGTGCATGGAGAGAATGGAAAACTATACATGAACTAGGAACATTGTAAAGTGCTTTGGGCGACCTTGGTCTGTAAAATATGCGATATAGATAAACATTACTTACTACTGCTACCACTACTGCTGCTACTACTACTCCTACTACTATAACTGCTGCTGCTACTGCTGCTGCCACTGATATTGCCACTACCCATAGTTTGCACAATCTGTTCTGAGCTCTAGTAATGAAGCATTATCCGTATTGGAGGGTTACACTGCGGAGTCTGTCGCTTGTTTTGTCTTACCATCTGTCCACGCTCCAATCTGGACTCTATCACTCTCTCACAAGCGCTCAAGACACCGTGAGGCAGACAGGACAGATCGAGATGCCATAACGGGACCAGAAACAGAATATTCACTCTGTGTCCGGACTCCGACAGGTAGTGCATCGGTGTCAGTGTCAGTGTCAGTAGTCATGGCAACGGCCCGAATTCAGAACACGGGATGTGCAGTAGGAGCTGGATTTGATTCACTTCTATGTCGGAACAGTGCCTTTTTGAGGGGAGTTTGCATGTTCTCCCCGTGTCTGTGTAGGTTTCCTCCAGGTGCTCCGGTTTATCTTACCACTAAAAACATGTACGAATAATATCTAAACTTAATTGGGTGACCTTAAAAATGTGAATAAAGATTTCTTACTTTGTTACTTATGGACATTGGTCATCCGCCCCTTATGGACCAATGTGTTTTGTGTATGATTCTCTGATTTGTGTTGGCAAATTCAACAGTTTTGTAAAGTCCTCTGAGAATGTTGTGATTTAGGGAAATACAAAAACAAATTGGATTAAATTGATACATCTAAATGAATTGTATAGAGCAGGGGTGCCCAAAGTGGGGCCCGCGGGCCAAAGTTGGCCCAACTGACCATTTCAGTTGGCCCGCCAAACATTGCCCACCTCCGCTGTAAGTTTCTATCTGCGTCCCTCAGCCTCGCTGAACAAACAGTGACATGTCTGAGATTGCGCGGGCACAAAGTCGCCCTCTGAACCCCGACTGTCCAGTACTTATCTGTTGTATCGAGATACACTCCTCACGCATGGTTCACATCAACTTGCACTAAAAAATGTTTTTTAAATCAAACACATCTTTCAAAACAATTGGGTGCAAGGCACCTTTATGTTCTTTTTTTTCAGCCTACTATTATAATTTTTTGGAGCTATTTAATGTTTTATCAAATTGAGAGGATTGTGCTGCCGAACTGCCACTCCCCCTCCTCACCGGAGGGAAATGGCGAGTGGAACTATTCACCTGCGCAATCCGCACCCACCCGGTGTGTTAAAAAAGACGGACACACACACTTCAGAGTGAGTTCAAGCAGGACAAGTAGGGATCGCAGCGCACGATCCACGTAAGTAGAAGCAACAAATACTGTGCAAAACAAACCCTTCTACAGCCCCATGAAAGAAGCCGGTAAGCGCCGTCCTCACTCGCGATCATTGAATGTCAGAACTTACGCGGAGTTTTATGATGCGTTCAAGAGCCCTTTGGAGGAGCGGAAACACTTTAACAGTTACTTTGTTTTTATTGTTTATAAATGTTGTACTGTGTTTAGGCAAAACAAAACAAACTCAAGGAACATATCAGGGTTAACTAGTCTGATTTCGTTATATTCAGTTCACTACTAATTGAGAATACTTGTCCTATGTTAAAAATATTAAGTTAAAACAGTTAAAACCTGATCATGTTTAGAAAATGCAGTTAGCAATTATGTTCCCAAATTCATTACTTAATGTTAAAATGTATTGTTTAAAAGTGTGCTAAAACCAGATCTATTGATCAGTGATGTCTCCCCTTTTTGATAAAAGCTAAGATAAAGTAATATGATTCAAATGTAGTTAAAAACTTTAGTTCAAAATAAATATATGAAAATAGACTTGGAAATTGCTTTGGCTCAGTGCAACAGAGATAATAAAAATAAAGAATAAAAAATACTTCTAAGGAATAAATTTAAATTTAAAATAGAGTTACAGTTACTATTTACAATATACAAGTGCACATGGTGCACACAAAATGTATGTTTCTGTTCTCTTTTTGAGGTTTTATCATATGATTTTAACCTTTAAATAAGCCATGACAGAAAATCTCCCTCCTCTGGACCCTGATTACCCGCCGGAATCTTTCCGTACTGTAGTCTCCTCAAACCTGCATATTTCCCTGGAGCCTCCACTTCACTGAGACTGTGTTGATTTCATTCATTCAGCTGTGATTTGCACTGATAGACAATAATTAATGCATTTAAAAGAACTTGATCAAATCTACATTTATTTGTGTTTCATGCATAATATTGGTGTATTTGGCCCGCGGCCCACTGGCAAATTTTTACTTTGGCCCTTGGAAGCAAAAGGTTTGGGCACCCCTGGTATAGAGCATGGTATAGTTGATATAAAACATTCATTCACAGCTTTTGAGCCCTTCATAGTTTTCTCTGGTCTCTTCTCTGTTGAAATGCTGTATTGACCCAGAGAAAGACATGCTACTGCCGCTCTCCCAAAGGGTCCTCTGATGGACTGTGTGATCAAAAGCTCCGCTCAAACCCCTGATCAAGTTAGCAAACAGCAGCTCTTTTCTTCTTTTGAATGAAAAATAAATCATCCAAATGCAGGGAAAAAGAAAAATCAGAGGAGCAACAGCGTCTCAACTTCAGGACTGTGGATAACACTCAAACATGCATGACCCACTGTCTTTGTGTCTTTTGCCTCCGATTATTTGGTTTTATAGATTGATTTTCATGTTAGATTCAATCGTACATGTTTTTAGTGGTGCAGGAAAACCAGAGCACCAGGAGAAAACCTACGCTGACTTAGGAAGAACATGCAAACCCAGAGCCTTCTTGCTGAGAAGCAGGAGTCGCTGACCACATAGATGGACACTTTAATGATTCCTGTATCTATCTATATCTCTGCATCGAAACACACAAGAGCATCATTCTAAAAGTTTCTACCATTCAATAGCTGAAAGAACAAAGGATCCTTTAAAAAGTTCTGTCCGGCAGTGTAGTGATAGAAACCTGTTGCTACGGTAACCATATAGCCCATATCAATTAACCTCTAACTATCGCAGTAAGTTTTGATAATAATTTCAAGTGCTCGCTGTAATACCCCTGAGCACCAGTAGGGGACAGCCTGTCAATCAAATCATCACATAAAACACAAACAAATAGCACCGTTAAAAATAATCAAATCACAGGTCATTAAAAACATTTCGACGTTAAAATCAAACCGCCTTTTGGGAAAAGAACAACAAAACAAATGTGTTTTTGCATGTTTAACTCCTGTATACATTACTCGGCGTCGACGCGCTCCGGTGGCCACAATAACTTGTCCATGTTTATGTTTTTGATGTTTAATGCTAATGTCGCTCCCCGGTGTGCGCTGGGTGCGTTTGTCGGAATCACGGCTCGAGACGGTCGGACACGATTCGCTTCGTGAGCAGCCGGGGGTAAAGCCACTCGTGGTTAAGTGCACATTCAGACATGTTTCCTAGCCGCGCTCTGAAGAACTAGCCGTGCGTGAAGCGGTGCTACATCACGGATACGCTTTTATGATCCTGACAACAAGAACGTCGTTACCACGGCTTGTATCAGCGTGTTTCGATTATGTTAAAACAGTCAAACAAGTTAACCCCCTGTGGACTGCATCATCTCTGTCACGTACACGATATACAACCACATGCTACGCTATGAGCTACACCACAGTAACCAAATATATGTATGCATTTGTTCATTTTCTACCCCTTTATTAGTCCATTTCTGGGTCTGGGAGTGACAATCAGAGCTGCCCCAAGTCTCAGAGCACCAGTCCCTCTGATCCTCTGCAGGACAATGGCTGCTACATCAGTGGTGCCACAGCCTTGGTGTTTCAGCACGAGCTTCAGGCAATGTGGGGTTAAGTGTCTTGCCCAAGGACACAACGACAGCCGACATTAGTGGGAGCAGTTGGAGTAGGTCCTGTGATGACCTTCAGGCCCAAAGGCCAATGCTCTACCAACTGTGGGTCATGCATGTTTGAGTCTTATCCTCAGTCCTGAAGTTGAGACGCTGTTCAAAAGAAGAAAAGAGCTGCTGATTGCTAACTTGATCTGGGGTCTGAGCGGAGCTTTTGATCACACAGTCCATCAGAGGACCCTTCGGGAGAGCGGCAGTAGCATGTCTTAGTCGCCGCATACAGTATATATATGTTTGCAGTTAATGCTTTTCGGCTAAAACCGTTGGGTAGAAAACTTTGAAAATGTATTCCCTTCCAGAATGCTGAGTACATGACCTAAAATGTATTTTGTTACTTTGGAAAAAGTAACATTTATTGTAAATGAATGTTTAATTACAAATTGTATTAAGGAAATGTCAAAAACATTGAAAACCACACGGCTTTTGACAGCTGCAGCAGCGCTCAGGCCCAGCAGGTTTGATATCACACTTCAGCAGTCGTGAGTTCAGGTCAGAAAACTGTATAAAGCATGTGGTGAGGGGTTCTACAGCCTTAACACATACGGCTGCTATTTCACGGATTCCTTTATTCAGTTATTTTTAGAACGTAACGTTTTTTTAGAAGTATTTCAACTCAAGAACTTTCTGAGTTTAAGCCTCGTCTGTTGGATGGAGAGTGAAAACCAGCGCTAACTCTTAATGAAGTGCAGGAGCAGGAGAAACGCCGCGGCCCGGACCCTGCCCTGCTCTAATGAGACCTGTGGCTCTGTGGTAAGTGATGACCTCTCCGTGCCATGTTAACATTATATCTATTTAATCAAACGGCACGCGGCGGTTTGTGCAGCGGGAGTGCATCTTAAAGAGTTCATTATGCTACATTAGCCAAGACCAGGGAGACGGAGAGCCGGGTCCTGCAGTGACACCGGAGCGAATATTAGAAGGAAAAATGCATGAGGAAAAGAGGGAGAATAAAGAGGCAGAAGCAGAGGAATGCAGCGCAGGGTTAGAAAAGAGAGACACGAACCCAACACGTGAAGTCCCAAACGGACAGAAACCAAGTGGATAGATATTTTATTCACTTTGCCTTTTTGTATGCAGGTCTTAGTGCTGAGTTTGCCATTTCACTTTGCACACTGCTCCTTTTAAGTCAATTCAAACATGTGGCCAAAAGTGGTACTGCAGCCTCTCCCACTCTCCCTGACTCAGGTTGCCAGATATGCAGACGAATCCAGCTGGGACCATAATATCTTTTTTGTCAACAACAAATCTATAACCAACACCTTTTTCACAAAGGCCCCAATAGAAATCCTTGTGTTATTCCTTTTGTTGTTGTGGTACTTTACTTGGTACTTTAGCAGTGACATTCGCCTGATGCGGTGAGTTCTGGCAAAACAGTAAAACAAAACTACTATTATCAGTTAAAGAAGTGTTGGAAAAGAGCATGGTTTATTAATGTGGTGATCCTGATCAGCGTCTGGATGATTGTCTTTAAGCGGAAGTCTGTGCTCCATGAGTGATTGTAATTAACTCATTTTTCCCAAAAATATGGCACTAATGTAAGTAAGCAAGAAATGTTTATTTATTTAGCGCATTTCACAGACCAATGTCACCCAAAGCTCTTTACAATGTTCAGAGTTTGTTCCATTCACTTCACACCCCGTGATGACGGAAGAGAAGCCCAATCAACACCATCCATTCACTCTCTCATTCACACTCAGACCTATTGTGCAAGTTTTTAGTGGTAGGAGAAACCGGAGCACCCGGAGGAAACCTACGCAGACACAGGGAGAACATGCAAACTCCACTCAGAAAGGCCTTGTTCCGACACAGGCTCGAACCCATGAGCTTCTTGCTGAGAAGTGAGCGCGCTAACCACTCAGCCACAGTGTCGCCGCGGCCCCATGAGAATTATCTGCTACACAATGTCCACCGTAAGACCTACTTCACGACTCCCACTGATGACTGCTGTCGTTGTGTCCTTGGGCAAAACACTTAACCCCACTTTGCCCAAAAGCCCCCACTGAAAGATCTCAGCTCCTGTGGACTCACCACCTGCAGGAGGATCAGTGAGGGGCTGGTGCTCTGTGACTGGGTGCAGCTCTGACTGCCACCCCCTGACCCAGAAATGGATTAAGGGGAAGAAAATGGATGGATGGACAATGTACACTATGCTAAATCCTATAGAGGCTGTATATATGAGGCCAATGGAAATAAGTGCTTTAAAGAGTTGACCTGAAAGAACCGCAGCACACTCCGTCATCGCTCTTTTTAGCTACATTTGTTCAAATTGTCAGTTTTCTGAACCTGACATTTTCTCCACACTCGATATATACATTAAAAAGACCGATGCTGTTGACATTTGTGGAGGTTTCCAGGCAACAGAAGCCTCGGACCCTCTTAAGAAGAAAAGCTGTAGAAAGTTCAACACACGATCATAAATGTGCTCACATCTCATCCAAAGAACATTTCTTTAATTCAGGTCGCTGTTGCTGTTACTTTTATCTGAGAACATCCACAAGTCTGGTTATTCCGACAATATGAAAAAAGACAGACATCTCTCTTCTCAGACATCATTTACTTTGGAATATACTGGAACTTATGAGATCCACCTTATATTGTGGATCCGAACACAGGACACAAAATGGTCGACTAGGACACGCCCTCTTTTTACAGGTATAAAAAAGGACAAAGTAACCCATAGACACAGTGAGGCTATACAAGTAGTTATACAGTAGTTATAGTAGGAATGAGAATATGAAATCCCAAAAGATAGAGAAGAGTTTTTGCGTTTTGACGTTTTAATATCAGCATCGGCATCGGCCAGTAGCTGTAGTGTTGGTGGGAGCAGTATAACCAGTTTCCACATTATTTGTCATCAGTTTTCTGGTGCTTCTCTTCAGCCTCTTTGTGGATGTGTTGCCTTTGCCTTCGGAGCAGATAACAGCACTCAGATAACACATGGGGAGCAGTGCAGACAGGAAGAGGAGGAAGAGGAGGAGGAGGAAGAGGAGGGCGTTTGGACTGAGGCGAGGAGGCTTCAGTCTGGATAACATCAGGAGAGCAGCCGTGCATCCGGACATTTACCCAGACAGGACTTTTGTTTAGTGCAACACTGGAGTCGCTTTAGTTTCCTACACGCACAATGTGTTTTCAGATTGGAGCAGATTTGTGAAGGATCGTATCATTCTACGCCCTCAGTCACATCATACTCATAATGTGCTTATTTCAAATGCAACCACAACAGCATTCATGGACAGTTGGAGTCTTAGATAACACATATGTAGAATTGTCTTTCTTAAAATGACAATATTTACTTGGGCATTTCATATTTTAGAGTGATCAGTTCTTAAAGCTGCGGTACCTAACTACGTCCTTTAGCTGGTGGTTCTATCACCAGTTTTCCCAAGGATTTTTTTTTTTGGTCTTTTGTTACATCATTGGATTTTTTTTTTGACAGAATAGTGAAAAAGAGAGGACCACCAATCAGATCTCAGCCCAAAGCGTCCAATAGTGACTCACAGGGCTCTTTCTTATCAGTATGTGTAATCCTTATGGCATATATATATATATAGTGGAATGGCAGTAAGTAAGCAAGTAATGTTTATTTATATAGCACATGTTACAGACCCAAAGGTACAGACCCAAAGGTACAGACCCAAAGGTACAGACCCAAAGCACTTTCCAATGTTCAGAGTCAGATATTGTTCCAATCCTTCCACACACGGTGATGACAGAAGCGAGTCCAGAACACACTGGACCATCAGCTCCAACACCATCATTCACTCTCTCATTTACACTCAGACCTATTGTGCATGTTTTTAGTGGTAGGGGAACCCAGAGCACCCGGAGGAAACCTACGCAGACACAGGGAGAACATGCAAACTCCACTCAAAACTGCCCTGTTCCGACCGGGATTCAAACCCAGGACCTTCTTGCTGAAAAGCGAGAGTGCTAACTACTCAGCCTCCGTGCCGCCCAGTGGTAGTCGCAGTGGTAGTAAAAGGGCCAGGGTTGAAGAGTTTGCGCTGGGAGCTGAGTCGGTAAACCATAAAACAGTTCCAGCAAACATGTTGTTATTAAACTCCACAATCCCCAAAGCCCACTCGTCCCGGAGGACACTATCTGTGCTGTGTTACATACGCAAACGATAAGATTGGATGGATTTTTTGTGTGATATTGTTCTTACAACACACTGTTAGGACAAACTATGAAGGTGCCCCAGCTTTATTTAAGTTGATTATATGGATAAACATGGCACATGGAGTAAGAAATGTCTGCTGTATAATGAAGTCCAATGCTGTAGTTTAATGTGACGTACTTTTACTGGAGAAATTCACAAAACTGATTTAAATTCAATTAGTTTTGTGTCGTCCTAAATCACAACAGCAGTCGTCTTGGAGGTTGTTGAATCAAAGTTTCTGATTCACCAACAACAGATCAGAGAATCAAACAGTGCAAACGCAGGAAAGGCAATAATAACAAACACATATAGAGCGGGACGACCACTGAGGCAATATTTGAAGTTTAAAAATCACAACACGGCTCAGTCCAGGATGTCCTTGTCTGAGCATTTGCCAAAGTGTAATAAGATTGAAAAGTGAGCTTTTGGACAGAAGGGTTGGGGGCATATTTTTGCCAATATCATGGTTGAGATTAGTGTGGATGGAGCCAACAACAACAGATGTGATCAAGGAACAATGTAACTTGGTAAATACAGGGGCGGCACGGTGGCTGAGTGGTTAACACTGGACAGCACTCTCGCCTCTCAGCAAGAAGGTCCTGGGTTCAAATCCCGGTCAGAACAGGGTCTTTCTGAGTGGATTTTGCATGTTCTCCCCATGCCAGTGTGGATTTCCTCCGGGTGCTCCAGTTTCCCCTACCACTAAAAACATTCACACTAGGTTAGATCCTCCAGCTCTGGTCCTGACCAAGCCGAGCATCAACATCTGGAGATGGGTTTCCGGGCGCTGTTACTACGGCGACCACTGCTCCTGACGTAAGCCTTAGGGTCAGGGGTCAAATGCAGAGGAGGAAGTGCCCTAAGGGCATCAACAAAGTGCACCTTTACCTTTACATGTCAATAAAGGTAAAATAACTATATTTCCCCTTTGAAACTGGCAACACAAACAAATCCTGCTTTCATTATGAGATTGAACCAAAATCATCAAAATATAAACTTCCACTTCCACAAATATCCACTTCAAATGTTTAAACTCTTTTCCCATCGTTCCTTTAACGTTCATGCTTTAAACTTTTCATAGCAGAAATGTGAAATCTGTGTTGTTAAAAAACGTGTGACAACTGTCAATCAATGTACTGTGATTATTTATTATAAACGCCGTGTGTGACTGTCTCTTGTTTTGTTTGAGTTTTCTTGTGTATGAACTGTGCTACACAAATAAACTTGCCTCGTCTTGGTTTGAAAATACAAACACATAAATAATTCCAAGCACAAAACAAAAAGTTATCTTTTTAACAAGCCACGAAAAGTTTCCTAGTGACATTCAGCTGCAAATAACAAACTTTTCTAATTTTTGCCGTACACAAAAACCACAGACTCATTTGTTCTAGTTCCCAGCGCTTCGATAACACGACTTCAGCACCGTCTGCCCACATTCAGGATAAAAAACCACTGACACAATTTTTCATTATGTTTGGGCTAAAATAAACAAGAAAACTAACCTCTCATTTACTCTACACAGGCGCCATTGTCAGACACCTGCGTTGTAATGAGTTCTTAACCGTGAGCACCGCGAACGACAACCCACATTTGTCTTTGCCTCAGTGGGACGGCCCGAGTGGGGTCAGACCGAGTGGGGCCAGCCCGAGTGGGGTCAGCCCGAGTGGGACGGCCCGAGTGGGGTCAGCCCGAGTGGGGTCAGCCCGAGTGGGGTCAGCCCGAGTGGGGCCAGCCCGAGTGGGGCCAGCCCGAGTGGGGCCAGCCCGAGTGGGGTCAGCCCGAGTGGGGTCAGCCCGAGTGGGGCCAGCCCGAGTGGGGCCAGCCCGAGTGGGGTCAGACCGAGTGGGGTCAGCCCGAGTGGGACGGCCCGAGTGGGGTCAGCCCGAGTGGGGTCAGCCCGAGTGGGGTCAGCCCGAGTGGGGTCAGCCCGAGTGGGGTCAGCCCGAGTGGGGCCAGCCCGAGTGGGGCCAGCCCGAGTGGGGTCAGCCCGAGCCAGAAATGCAATTATTCTGCACGGGACAGTGCTCATCCTGCGCCTGCTTTAAAACAACCTATTACACAATGTTCACGCTTAGTCACTGCTTTTTAAAGTCTTTGCATATTTAATTTCCACCATTTCTGTGTTGATGGAGTCCAGGGCTTTCCCAGCTCCTCTCACTGCTGCAGGGAGACTGCAAATGTGGACTTGAATTAAACAAGAAGTGAAAGTTGGAGATTCTGGCTCCACTAAAGACGTTTTTAGTGCATTTGAAATCTCAATGATAACCCTTTACAAGCAAGTCCAACCTCAGGCCCGTGGGCCAAGTGTGGCCCTCTGTGCCACTTATGTGGCCCTCTGCTGCTAACACAAAATCTCCATTGAGGCACTTTGACAGTGTCATCCAACCAACTTCAGCTCCACCACTATAGTCGTGCTATACTTTGTTGTAAATCTCAGACTCGCTGGAATCCAGATGTTGACTTTATTGTTATTTACTGACATTTGTTTATGATTGTGTCACAACATTCCTCTTCAAATGAAACGGTGGATCCAGAAGGACGTATCATAACCCAAGTTCAATTCTAAAATCCAGTCAATCCAACTCAAGTCCAGGTTTTTGAGCATTGGAACACCTTTGAGTTACAGCATTTAAAACAAAGTCATTCTCATCAAATTGTAGAATAGAAAAAAGTCAAAAAATCTTTCTAATCTTCTCGCATGATTTTTACCAATTAGGTGATATTGGATTCTTTCCAAAGGCACACCAACGTGCCACAGCCTTATTAGAAAACAGGTAAGTACTTGTTAGACAGAACCCTCTGAGTCACTATTTGACACTTTGGGCTGAGAGACTTGCTTTCTAACTTTTCTCTCTGAAACATCAGATTCAAAGCTTCAAAGCATAAAGGACAGTTAATTAAAAAACAAACTGGATTTGTTTGCAGTTCATGGATTCCTCGTTCCAGCGCTGACTATTCCAGCAGGACATTCCGTCGTTTCTTTCCAAACCCACAGTGCCCGGGAGCACCGTGCAGCGCTCTCCACACCGATGTGCATTGAGCAGCTTCCTTATCAACATTAAGACTTTCTCAATGGTCCATTCGAGTAATTCCATCTCCAGATACACGCCCACCGTTTGGACCAAAGAGCATTTACGGAGCTGGGAACTGGACCTCACGACGAGCTAATGTGATTTACTCTGCAACTCCGGAGCGCAGCACTCGAAAGAGAAAAGACCAACGTGATTCAGGGCTTAAAGTGTAAACGGCTCAAAGTAATTCTACCGCAGAAAAGCAAAGCCACAAGATCTAATAAAGAAACAGGAAAGACACGTTTCTCCACCAGAGCTCTGTCGTAGAAAACTGTCAAAGTGTTCAAACAGAGATAGCCACCTAAAGAATACTAAGAGATGACTTGATACGCCAACATTGCCATCTTGTGGAAGAACTGGGGAATTACAGTCTGCTATGCTTTCAGTAAATCCAAGATGGCGTGGTCCAATAGCCTCTTCTAACTTTCTAAACAAAATAATGTAAATTATAGTATTTATCTATAGCGGCTACTGCTGTGATTTAGGGCTATACACATATAATTTGAATTGAATTAATCTGAACGTCAAACTTCAAAATAAAATAAAAACAGATGAATCTATAGAATACAGTTTGCAAAGAAATAGCAAATTGATTCAGACAAATTGGTACAAAATAGTTTTATTATACCCATTTGAACTCATTTATAAGTAGTGAGTTATAAGACAGTTGACTTTTATTGCCGTCTTATAAATGACAGAACCAGGGTGAAAAATATGAGGTCGTGAGGCGGGCAAAGGGCACGTTGTTTTGTCTTTGTTTTGAGGGAATGAGCCTTTACTCTGCTGTGTAAATTACCACAACAAAACTTGAGAATCGCAGACGTTCAGCCTGACTAGTGCCTTTAGTGCCTCCACTCTGGTTCATTTCACTCCTGCTACTATAGATCCATGCAGCTAAGATCTGGAACAATCTCCCTGAAAATGTGAGGGAGGCGTCTGCTCTGTCAATGTTCAAATCCAGGTTAAAGACTGTTCTGTTTGCCTGTGCTACAACTGAAGGATTTTATCTCCATTTCTAATGCACTGTTGTCATTTATTTATTTATTTTTTTAAATTTCTTGTGTAATTTTGAAAGTTTTAATGGTTTTATTCTTTTGTGTGATTTTAATGTTTTAATTGTGATTCTGGTGTTTGTTTTATGTGATGATTTGTGATGTGGACTGTGAAGCGCTTTGTGTTGCCCTGTGTATGAAAGGCGCTCTACAAATAAACTTTGATTGATTGATTGATTGATATAGCTGAAGTATCGCAGGAATGCTGGCCTTGAGAACCAGGAAGTAGAATCGACCAATCAGTGCCTATTTGTAAATCAGAAATGGGCCCCAACACGTTTGTAGACCCATCCTTACATTCTGAAAGGGTAAGGGTCAACTCAAAGTGCTGAACAAAATGAGAAAGCATTAAAATCATAAATAATCACAGAACATTAAAAAGAAAGATAAAAATATAAAATCCCTCAGTTTAATGCACAGCTACACAGGACTGTTTTAAACATTGTCAGAGAGGAGGCCTGTCTCACATCTTCAGGAAGATTGTTCTAGATTTCAAAACAGCCTCCTGCAAATGTCACGAGCAAACGGCAGCGATTGGATAGAGCAAGAAGGAAGCCGCCAACTGTGGAGCAAACTAATCCTAAAGAGCAATGAAACTGGCTAATGCATCAGGCTAGCCGACATTAGCTTCCTCTGATGATGCATCAGGCTAGCCGACATTAGCTTCCTCTGATGATGCATCAGGCTAGCCGACATTAGGAGTCCTCTGATGATACATCAGGCTAGCCGACATTAGCTTCCTCTGATGATGCATCAGGCTAGCCGACATTAGGAGTCCTCTGATGATACATCAGGCTAGCCGACATTAGCTTCCTCTGATGATGCATCAGGCTAGCCGACATTAGGAGTCCTCTGATGATACATCAGGCTAGCCGACATTAGCTTCCTCTGATGATGCATCAGGCTAGCCGACATTAGGAGTCCTCTGATGATACATCAGGCTAGCCGACATTAGCTTCCTCTGATGATGCATCAGGCTAGCCGACATTAGGAGTCCTCTGATGATACATCAGGCTAGCCGACATTAGCTTCCTCTGATGATGCATCAGGCTAGCCGACATTAGGAGTCCTCTGATGATACATCAGGCTAGCCGACATTAGCTTCCTCTGATGATGCATCAGGCTAGCCGACATTAGGAGTCCTCTGATGATACATCAGGCTAGCCGACATTAGCTTCCTCTGATGATGCATCAGGCTAGCCGACATTAGGAGTCCTCTGATGATACATCAGGCTAGCCGACATTAGCTTCCTCTGATGATGCATCAGGCTAGCCGACATTAGCTTCCTCTGATGATGCATCAGGCTAGCCGACATTAGCTTCCTCTGATGATGCATCAGGCTAGCCGACATTAGCTTCCTCTGATGATGCATCAGGCTAGCCGACATTAGCTTCCTCTGATGATGCATCAGGCTAGCCGACATTAGCTTCCTCTGATGATGCATCAGGCTAGCCGACATTAGGAGTCCTCTGATGATACATCAGGCTAGCCGACATTAGCTTCCTCTGATGATGCATCAGGCTAGCCGACATTAGGAGTCCTCTGATGATACATCAGGCTAGCCGACATTAGCTTCCTCTGATGATGCATCAGGCTAGCCGACATTAGGAGTCCTCTGATGATACATCAGGCTAGCCGACATTAGCTTCCTCTGATGATGCATCAGGCTAGCCGACATTAGGAGTCCTCTGATGATACATCAGGCTAGCCGACATTAGCTTCCTCTGATGATGCATCAGGCTAGCCGACATTAGGAGTCCTCTGATGATACATCAGGCTAGCCGACATTAGCTTCCTCTGATGATGCATCAGGCTAGCCGACATTAGGAGTCCTCTGATGATACATCAGGCTAGCCGACATTAGCTTCCTCTGATGATGCATCAGGCTAGCTGACATTAGGAGTCCTCTGATGATACATCAGGCTAGCTGACATTAGGAGTCCTCTGACAAAGCGTTTTTAAAAGTACTCCTCTAATCAGCCTTGAAACCCCGTGCTCTCCGTAAGTTCGCATTGACTCACATTATCTTTCGTTGCTATCACAGATGGCTTTGCTCGTGCACCACTGTATGAGAACATTATGCAGAGAACATTATTATGAGAACATTATTATGAGAACATTATGCAGAGAAGTTGAGTGGTAAATGCCCCCTCCGAGTGTCACCTCGGTAATGGGTTCCTGGCAAACGCACAAACCACGCCAGCCTGAGACGTGTCCCATCCACATCCCGCCTAATTACAACAGTTGGTGCGCAAGAAAACGCAAAGGGACGGGCCGCCATGTCAAAACAGATTGAAAAGCTTGCTGCCATGGTTACGGCCTCCATATTTATTGGACCGGGGGATACTTCATTAAGACACGAAGGTTTTGTGCCGTTTCAGAGAGTCTTTTGAGCGCAATTATGAATTCAATGCACGGAAAAGTTGAAGGGAAATTAAAACAATTTTCTTCAGTCATGTCCAAACTAAAATGTAGTCTTTGAGTAAATGCGTGTGTTTTGGATCAGAGACGGCGTGTTAGGAGAGCACTGACCGACTGCTGACAGCACTAGCGTTAGCCAAATGCGGAAGAAGCAGATTTGAGCATTAATTAGCTGGAGCCAGTTTCCTTATATGGGCATCTGTTCTGACTCCAACGGCATTAGCTTCACGTGGTAAAAGGGGCAGAAGTGTTGCTAATATGGTTGCTAATTAGGCTGGAGTTTGAATGAAGATGAATGAAGGCATCTGATTGGTCAATGCTTATGTGGCTCATAGCTGGACTTGCAAAGACAATAGAATTAGAGCTAGCGAGCTATGGGACAAAGCAAAATTATCTTGTTCTTTTTTTTAAATATGCAAGAAATGTCTCCCTTGGAATGAGATGATAAAGCAACGGTTCTTGAAATAATGCTAAAGGGTTTTGTCTCATTGAGTATTTTCTGACTGTGTTAAAACCAGATTTTCCAAATTAAGATAAAACCACTCAATTCAAGAATTTATTACCTAATATTTATATTTTTTGCAGAGTTTGCTTGATTTAGGCCTCTCTTTTGTACTTCTCTGTTTGAAAAAGCTGGTCCAAAAGATGTGACAAAGAGAAAAAGAGATATAAGTCTGAGTGAAATCTTGTGCTCAACCTGTTTGGAAAGGAAATAATCTACTTCCACTTTTCACGACTCGATGATCAGCTGAGCCGAAAAGAAAGAGGACTAAACCAAAGCTAAAGTTGGAAAGACATTGTGGCTATTCAGTGCATGTACCTCACAAACGTGGCCAGTTTCTATAGTGCTACAACAAGACGGCTTTGGTCCAGCAGCAGTGTCCCAGCGAGCGTTAGTGATCTACATCACCGCCAACGCCAACGCCGCCAACGCTGCTGCTGCGCTCTCCGAGCTGGCAGCACGGAGAAACTTGGCCCGACTTTCTCCTCTGCATTTCCGAAGGCGCTCTCGGTATTCGCCGGGTGCACAACACATCCATCACACGCGGAATCAAGGACAGTGGCATCTTGTTGGCTGTCAGCGTACCCCCATGGTCCCCCCGCCTCCCTACACCGCTGCTTGATGTAAAACACGACCGGTTAGGGAGTAGTGGAGTGAAACCAAGGACTTTCACACAGAGAGATTTGTTGATGGAGGAGGAGGATTTGTGCCGAATTTAATTGGTCGCAGATTTGATTCTCAGCCGGATCTGATTGTCTTGATGTAAATTGCCTCTCTAAACTGCCAGACGCAATTTATAGCTTCTACGACACGAGATGAGTTCAAAAGAGAGAGACTGCCATGACAAGAACAAATTACATCTTGACCATAGTTTTCCACGCTCCAAACGTTTCTAAAACTGGGTTATATATTTAAACATCAAAAGAGTTCCCTTTTGTGAGCGTAAAACATGTCTCCAGACTTCACCTTGATACAAAGCAGCAGAGCCTACATTTTCAGCTCTAAAAATGTGTATACAATCTGAATGAACACATATATAATTTATTTATATATTTGAAACGGGATATACAATGTAAATGTGTGTCCGAGTTTGCTAAAATAAGATAATTTTCATCAGTTTCTTTCTGTCGGGACACATACTAATGTAGTTTATGGCAGTGTTTGTCAAACAGTGGGCCCTGGCATGTTCGTGGAGATACCGTCTGTTCGATCCAACACATTCCAATACACTTTGATGAGGACTTTGCATTGTTAGTTAAGAGAGTTTCAGATGGTGTCGTGCTGCGTCTCAAAGGGGAGGGGAACACTAACAAAAAACAATACACAATATACCAATAAAAAAAGAACAACTTTCACAGCTCATGGGTAAAACGTTATGGCCTGAAAAGAAACATGTTGAAACAGTAACATGTGTTGAATAAATAAAATAAGGCAGGATGAGCCATGCATGTCAATTCAATTCAATTCTTTCTTGTCATGCGTCATGTTCTACCCCTTTATTAATCCATTGCTAGGTCGAGGGAGGGCAATGAGAGCTGCCCCAAGCCTCAAAGCATCAGTCCCTCTGATCCTCTGCAGGTGGTGGGTCCACGGGAAAATGGCTTCTCTGTAAGTGTGAGCATAGCCTTGATCTTTCAGCGGGGGCTTCAGGCAATGTGGGGTTAAGTGTCTTGCCCAGGGACACAACGACAGCAGGGGGAACAGATGAAATGGGTCGTGGTGGGCTCGAACCCACGAAATCACAACGGCACTTTACAAAACTGTTGAATTTTCCAACACAGAGAATGAAACAGTCTGAACCTCAGAAATGCAGTGATCTAAAACACATAGAGCCTTTGGTCCATAAGGGGCAGAGACCAGTGTCCATAAATGTTCTTGAATGTGGAGTGTCCTGGATCATCACCACTGTCTTTACTGTCATAGATTATAATATAGTCGGATGCACACTTTCAGAACAGAACGACTCATGCATGCAATACTTTAGTGCAGTAAAGGCAACACACACACAGTCAGTCCTCCCACCCAAACTATTGTGGTAAAAATAGACCATTATTTTATAGAAAGTGTGTCGAGCCATGCTTCCACGTTATGCAAATGGCCGTGGGGAAAAGGCACCAGTAACATAGGGATAATAGTGTCTAGCAATGGGCACCCAAGGGACCATCAATGGACCCAGGAGACTGCTGTGGGGAGAACACATGCTGTTTCCATGTCGCCTGTGAAATATTAGATTTCTACAGTTGTAAAAAGAAACAGACAATCACGTCGACTTGTTTGTGTCTCTACATTACATGGTGTTTTCATTATTGATGCGTCTATGGTGTATGGGAATGTTGCTGTTGGCATGGGGGGGCTACCATTCACAGCCATAAAAGTGAGACTTGAATCAATACAAAATCTAAACCACTATTCCATGCACAGTGCACAATAAGACGTCAGAGCTAGTTAAAATATCATACATTATTTATCCTCATTCATTAGTCCATTCATTAGTATCTAAATCGATTTTGGTCTCATAGCAACAACCATCTGTGTGCAACTGGTGTGCGAGAGAGTTGGTGTTGAGCTACATCCCCTGAAATACTGCAATCTCTTCTAAAAATCTCAACCAACTTGGACTTTTCATACAAACTGTGCACTAATTGGTCGTGTCGAAAACTAAAGCCTTGTTACAACAGCGCAAAAACACAGGAGAATTGAAACCAAATTGTTTTAAAGCTTTTTGTTTAGATTTCGATCCAGTGGAAAGAAATACAGCAACACAAAGTACAATGGGTACAATGGCGACCTCAGTCCTCGTTCTACAGTCTGAGTCCTGGATCTACAGTCCGTCCGTGGGAGCAGATCCCTCTCTCAGTGTGGTCTTCGCTGAGGTTCTCACTTTTCTCCCACTGGGTTTTTAGAGCTATTCCTTGCTGATGAAGAAGGGTCTAAGGCCAAACATTTTAGTAAGAGGGCCACTTTAGTTCACCAGGCTAGTCCAGGGGTCGACGTCACGGACTGAAAAACTGTCTTGTTTGGCATCAGGCTGTTCCAAGCTTTAAAATGAATTATAACATGAAGCTGAATTTGGCTGAATGACAAATGTGTACCATCTCACCAGCTACAGTAGCATCATTAACGGTTTATGACTCAATCAAAAACCACGTCAGTGCAGTCTCTACACACAAAGTCAACAACCTACTGGGCTTCAGAACGAGGTACCACGTGTTGGTATGAGCTGAAGTTGGATGGATGACACAGTTAACTTGTGTTTATGATTTCCAAGACTAATTTGGGTTAGCAAGGCAGAGGGCCACATATAATGACACCGAGGTCCAAAACTGACCCCGGGGCCTAAGTTTGGACCTGCCTGGTCTAAGGACAGTGATGATCCAGACATTGGTCTACTGCCCCCTATGGACCAATGGCTGTATGTGTTTTTATCATTCTGTTTCCTGTTTTTGAGCCGTTTGATTCTCTGATCTGTGTTTGCGAATCAACAGCTTTGTAAAGTCCTCCGAGATAAAGTCTGTTGAGACTTAGGGTTATACACAAATACATTTATTTAAACTATACTTAGCATAAGGACAGCGTAACAAGAGTGAAGCTTTGACCATGAACCTTTGGGACATTTTCTTTCTGAAGTTGTCCTGGTCGGTAAGCTTGTTTTCTACGTCTTTCCTGAGATGAAGGCTGACATACGTCCAAACAACACGCCCACATCCACAGCTTGACACAGCATTTAAGTGGTAAAAAACTCCTTATTACTGCAAAGGCATCAAACCAGTGTCTCGACCCAAACCTCCGCTGACACCGGCCGGATAATTAATCCTTCTTAGCATTCTATCAAGTCGCTGCTTCTTTTATTGCCCTGCACAGAGACTCCATTCTGCATTCCTCCAGTGGGTCCTCTTCAGTCTCCTCCCTGGCCTCCTCTGCCCTTGTCAAAGCCTTTCAGACGCTCTCTTCTCCTCCCCTGGCCCAGACCCTCAGGATATTTGCTCCAGGACAAGTCCGCCCTCTGCCCCCTGCCTCTCTCCCCGCGGTGGCCTCTCCAGCAGCTGACAGTGACTACGCTACGACCAGAGCGCCGCAATGTCACCCACGCTCTTCAAAAGCTACGCCTCCGAAGGTAATTTTTCTGAACTTGTTGCCAGGTTGAAGTTAATAAGATGCTAATTAACATTATCTGGAATAAGGTCGCGGCATAAAACACGGAGGACGTCAAAGTTAGTGGCAGAAAATGCTAATGGCCAGAACTACAGTGGCTGCAGAAAGATCAAGTGAAAAGAGTCGTTTTGGAGCAGAATTCACACGAGCAAGAAATTGGCTTAATGTAGATGCATTAAATTAGAACGTTTGTAAAAATACACATGACATTCATTGATAAAAACTCTACTTATGGAACTTACACTAGACAACCCTGGACTCTCACCTCCCTCCCTTCCTCCCCTTAAGTGTCAATTAAAGTATCTGGACTTTAAAAGGTTGTAACTCAAACACTACAACTACTATCATAGATTAGATAAAAGATTTCAAACACAGATATATCAAAGGGATAGTATCGATAAAATCTGAAGAAAATCATCATCCTCTGATTTGACCATTCTACTATGACTCAGAGACTCCACGGATTAACAATAACACAACCTTCGGAAATGACTTGATTAAAAAAAATATACATAGTTTTTAAATGATAAATAACAAAATAAATGACCCTTGAAAAATGTGTAACGAACGTGATGATTTCCGGGTTTTTTTTCTCTAAAAATTAAACTGTATTATACTGTATGAACGTAATTCCTCCCTTCCTCCCTACCTACCTCCCTTCCTCCCTCCCTACCTCCCTTCCTCCCTCCCTCCCTACCTACCTCCCTTCCTCCCTTCCTCCCTATCTACCTCCCTCCCTATCTACCTCCCTCCCTCCCTTCCTCCCTATCTACCTCCCTCCCTCCCTATCTACCTCCCTCCCTCCCTATCTATCTACCTCCCTCCCTCCCTTCCTCCCTATCTACCTCCCTCCCTCCCTTCCTCCCTATCTACCTCCCTCCCTCCCTTCCTCCCTATCTACCTCCCTCCCTCCCTTCCTCCCTATCTACCTCCCTCCCTCCCTTCCTCCCTATCTACCTCCCTCCCTCCCTCCCTCCCTTCCTCCCTTCCTCCCTATCTACCTCCCTCCCTTCCTCCCTATCTACCTCCCTCCCTCCCTGCATATCTATCTACCTCCCTCCCTCCCTTCCTCCCTACCTCCCTTCCTCCCTCCCTCCCTATCTATCTACCTCCCTCCCTCCCTGCCTATCTATCTACCTCCCTCCCTCCCTTCCTCCCTATCTACCTCCCTCCCTCCCTTCCTCCCTATCTACCTCCCTCCCTCCCTGCCTCCCTATCTACCTCCCTCCCTCCCTATCTACCTCCCTCCCTCCCTTCCTCCCTGCCTCCCTATCTACCTCCCTCCCTCCCTATCTACCTCCCTCCCTCCCTTCCTCCCTGCCTCCCTATCTACCTCCCTCCCTCCCTATCTACCTCCCTCCCTCCCTTCCTCTCTATCTACCTCCCTCCCTCCCTTCCTCCCTATCTACCTCCCTCCCTCCCTGCCTCCCTATCTACCTCCCTCCCTCCCTTCCTCCCTATCTACCTCCCTCCCTCCCTTCCTCCCTATCTACCTCCCTCCCTTCCTTCCTATCTACCTCCATCCCTCCCTTCCTCCCTATCTACCTCCCTCCCTCCCTGCATATCTATCTACCTCCCTCCCTCCCTTCCTCCCTATCTACCTCCCTCCCTCCCTTCCTCCCTATCTACCTCCCTCCCTCCCTATCTACCTCCCTTCCTCCCTATCTACCTCCCTCCCTTCCTCCCTATCTACCTCCTTCCCTCCCTGCCTACCTACCTCCCTTCCTCCCTCCCTCCCTACCTACCTATCTACCTCCCTCCCTCCCTTCTCCCCTCCCTCCCTCCCTCCCTCCCTCCCTATCTACTTCCCCCCTCCTTATCTACCTCCCTCCCTTCCTCCCTACCTACCTCCCTTCCTCCCTCCCTATCTACCTCCCTCCCTCCCTCCCTACCTCCCTCCCTCCCTGCATATCTATCTACCTCCCTCCCTCCCTCCCTTCCTCCCTATCTACCTCCTGGGCGGCACGGTGGCTGAGTGGATAGCACTCTCGCCTCTCAGCAAGAAGGTCCTGGGTTCGAATCCCGGTCGGACCAGGGCCTTTCTGAGTGGAGTTTGCATGTTCTCCCCGTGTCTGCGTAGGTTTCCTCCGGGTACTCCGGTTTCCCCTACCACTAAAAACATGTCCAATAGTTCTAGCATGCGCCTCCTGTACTGGCCCTGCTCCCATCTCTGTGTGGAGTGAGAGACAAATGCCCAAAAAATTAACAATTGTAAACCGCTTTGAGACTCAGATCTGCAGTGAAAAGGCGGTATATAAATAAAAACTTACTTACTTACTCCCTCCTTCCCTGCCTCCCTATCTACCTCCCTCCCTCCCTCCCTCCCTGCCTATCTAACTACCTCCCTCCCTCCCTCCCTCCCTGCCTATCTAACTACCTCCCTCCCTCCCTCCCTCCCTGCCTATCTAACTACCTCCCTCCCTCCCGCCCTCCCTGCCTATCTAACTACCTCCCTCCCTCCCTCCCTCCCTGCCTATCTAACTACCTCCCTCCCTCCCTCCCTATCTACCTCCCTCCCTCCCTGCCTATCTAACTACCTTCCTCCCTCGCTGCCTACCCATACATAAAGTGTGTGAGTGTGTGGTTGTGTGTCAGATGTTGTAGTGCGATGATCCAGTGTGGTGCCGTACCCAGGAGGATGACGATGCAGAGCAGGATGGCGATGAGGGCTCCGGTGCTGAGTCCGGCGGAGGTGAGGAAGGCCTCGCTCTGGCAGACTTTGAGGCGGCCGTGCCTCTGACAGGGGCAGACTCTCAGGGTCAGGGTGCTGGTCCCGCTCAGAGACGGCTCCCCTCCGTCCCACACCACGATGGCCAGCTCGTACAGCTCCTGCGTCAGGTGGTTAAAGCGTCTGCGGCGGGCGATGATGCTGGCGGAACTGTCTGTGGAGAGAAAGACGGAGAAAATATGAGGTTTTTTACACAGCACGAGGAAAAACAACATAACACTTTCTGTCTTACGGTCTTCTTTTGAAAGTGCTGGAAACGGATGAGATGTTGCTGCAGTTCAGTGTTCATGGTTTTACACTGGTCCAGACCAGAGCAGAGAGGATTCATGGTTTTACACTGGTCCAGACTAGAGCAGAGAGGATTCATGGTTTTACACTGGTCCAGACCAGAGCAGAGAGGATTCATGGTTTTACACTGGTCCAGACCAGAGCAGAGAGGATTCATGGTTTTACACTGGTCCAGACCAGAGCAGAGAGGATTCATGGTTTTACACTGGTCCAGACCAGAACAGAGAGGATTCATGGTTTTACACTGGTCCAGACCAGAGCAGAGAGGATTCATGGTTTTACACTGGTCCAGACCAGAGCAGAGAGGATTCATGGTTTTACACTGGTCCAGACCAGAGCAGAGAGGATTCATGGTCCGAACCAAGTGGATCAGGCAATGCTAATGAAGCATTTCGTATTTTACTTTGGACCAGAGCAGAGAAAATGGTTTGAAACAAGCATCTGGCTACTCCACCTTGTGACCTGTCCTGCTCCACCCAGAGGCTACTCCACCTCTGCTGCTGTGACCCGTCCTGCTCCACCCAGAGACTACTCCACCTCTGCTGCTGTGACCCGTCCTGCTCCACCCAGAGACTACTCCACCTCTGCTGCTGTGACCTGACTGTTGCTTATTATTACTATTGTTAGATTTTTGAAAATGATCAATATATATGTTTTGTTTGTATGAATGCATGTGTTTCTGCTGCTACTGGACACCTGCATTTCTCATATGGGATCAATAAAGTGTCTATGTATCTATCGATCTATCCACTTTATGAATAAACATGTGTCAGAACTGGATCAAACCATTTCTACATTTACAGAACCTGGATACTACTGAGAAGAGGCCAAATTACTACAAAGATAGAACAAATATATCAAAAACTCTGAATCCAAACTCTGAGCTTTTGCCTCGTGGGGGCAATACAAATATTTGATTTTACTTTTTTGATTTTATAAACAGTTGAAGCAAATGTGCAAAAGCGATATACTTCCTCCCACTCCTTTCGAGGAATATTCATAAGTTTGTCCCTGACCCTCTTAAAGGATCACATCTGTTTATTTTTATATGATGTTTCCAGGTATTTCCATATTCAGACAAACTTTACTGTACATTAGAGTCCACCATCACTTCCAGAAGGATACAACAGTTCAGTAGATTAACACCACACAAGTGTCTACACAAAACATTACATCTCATGAATGTAAACTTAGACATAACATGGTCACCGTTTCAGAACTCTTTGTCTCATCGGCTTTTTCATCAGGCATTTGAGATTTTGTCTGATCTCTACCTCTGCAGACAGTAAAGATATTATTTGTCTCTGTGTTTGGGCGTATGCAGACGACTTTCATTTGCATAAAAGCAATGACTGAAGCAAAAGCAAAACTTCCCAGATTTCTTTTTTTTGTAAACCTGTGCAAATCAAATGCTACAGTATATGTAAAACAAATCCTTACATTGGCCAAAAGTGGCTTATGTGTGACATGTATGTAATTATGTCTGTAAGTATGCATGTGACAGTTCCAAAGTGAATCGTGAAAGTAATAGTAGTAGTATTAGTAAGCCTCTGCGCACTCAGAGAGTCAGGGCTGCACAAAGACAGTTTAAAAAAGGAAACTAAGTGAAGATTAAAGATGAATGAGTACAGTCCTTTTTGTGGATAATCTGATATATTTAATTCCTTTGATAAGACACTACAAGCCGTGCACCAAACAGCTAACGGCCCTTTTTGCCCCAGCGCAGACTCCCAAACACGGAACCGCATTATTTATACAAAACCGCACAAAGGTGAAAGTCATTACAGAAAAAAACAAGGATAAAAAGTACTATTGTGAGTCAGAAAGCCGTCTGCTCCCGTCCACGAGAATCCAGGATAATTAATTTCAAAGGTGCGGCACGTACGGTTTTAATACTTGTCGAAAGAGAAGCTCACCTCCGTCTGCTCCTCTGCGACTGAAGATAAACCCGGATTTTTCTCTTTAACAGTAATTTTGTTTTTGCAGAGGATACGGGAAAAGGAGAATGAGCGTCGGAGAGAGGAGCTTTCCGAAACTCAGGTAAACACACAAAAGGAAGAAAGACAAAAACAAGTTATTAGCGTTCGTGGCTGAATGAGATCAGAGCGAGACACGGCACACGGCCCAGCAAGACGATTTATTATATTTATGCAACAATACATATTTGTTTATAATCTAAATGTCTGCGTATACGGAGAAAGTCTGGTCTGCAGGAAGTAAAAAGTAACACTGCTTATGTCTAATTGAGCTGCAAGTTTTTCCTATTCCATGAGGGCTGTCAAGAATGTTACGCCGATATGTGTGTGTAAAAACAGGGAACGTTCAATAGAGACACTTCCTTATCTAATGCTCAACCTCATTAGACAAAAAACAGAATTATCAGTGCATTAAAGTGACTATAGGTAGGATTTTCATGTCAAATCATTAAAGGGCCCTAATCTGTCATAATTATAAACTGCTCTTTTCCAATACTTCTTTAACTGATAACAGTAGTTCAGAGATAATTGAATTTCTAAATTACTTTTCCAGCCTCTAAATCTTGTTATTGTTTTCATTTCGATGTCCCGCCCTCCACCGTTTCACCAATCAGAAAGTCTGTGATCCGGGCGCCAGAACTAGCGTTCCACCAGTGAGATTAGTGTCACGAACTGGCTTGAGGTTCGGACAAAACTGGAGTCCACACATGTTTCAAAAAGGTACCAAAAATAGAATATTTATTTAAAAGGCTGCTACTGCCAGGTGAGGGAGACCCATCAACTTCCTGACAGCACTTTTGAATGTGGCCGGTATCACCCATCTCAGGTGCTGCCAGTCCCAATCAGCTCTCCTATTGGCTGGATCCTGAAAGGAGGAGAAAGCCAGCAGCAACACACAAAGCAGACAAGACTGGGGTCGTCACAATTAGCGTGGAGCTAATCTCACTGGTAAAGTACCATGTGGCACACAACTAAAAAAGGTCTCGTTATGATTCTCAAATCATTAACGACAAAACAAGGAATAAAACCAGGATTTCTATCTCTGTGAAAAAAGTGTTGGTTATAGATTTGTTGTTGACAAAACTCTTGTCTATTCAGCTGTTATGGTCCCAGCTGGATTCGTCTGCATATCTGGCAACCTGAGTCAGGGAGAGTGGGAGAGGCTGCAGTACCACTTTTGGCCACATTTTTACAGACTGATACTTTAACTAACATTTTAATGAATACTATTGAAAAAGTTTGATACCAATAGTTACAAACTGTTTAAATCCAGCTACAGCCACGGGGACTGGACTCCTGCTGGGACTCTGAGGAGCACAGAGACTGAACTCCTGCTGGGACTCTGAGGAGCACAGGGACTGGACTCCTGCTGGGACTCTGAGGAGCATAGGGACTGGCCTCCTGCTGGGACTCTGAGGAGCACAGGGACTGGCCTCCTGCTGGGACTCTGAGGAGCACAGGGACTGGCCTCCTGCTGGGACTCTGAGGAGCACAAGGACTGAACTCCTGCTGGGACTCTGAGGAGCACAGGGACTGGCCTCCTGCTGGGACTCTGAGGAGCACAAGGACTGAACTCCTGCTGGGACTCTGAGGAGCACAGGGACTGGCCTCCTGCTGGGACTCTGAGGAGCACAGGGACTGGCCTCCTGCTGGGACTCTGAGGAGCACAGGGACTGGACTCCTGCTGGGACTCTGAGGAGCACAGGGACTGGACTCCTGCTGGGACTCTGAGGAGCACAGGGACTGGACTCCTGCTGGGACTCTGAGGAGCACAGGGACTGGCCTCCTGCTGGGACTCTGAGGAGCACAGGGACTGGACTCCTGCTGGGACTCTGATGAGCACAGGGACTGGCTAACCCAGTTCTGTTTCGTGTCTTCACTCTTTTTAATAAACTGTGAATATTTTATATTTCAATACCTTATGCTTGTCCAAACTCAGAGTGTATTTTTATGTGGCCCTCTGCCTTGCTATCCCAATGTAGTCTTTGAGATCATAAACACAAGTTCACTGTGTCATCCATCCAACTTCAGCTCAGCCAATGCAGACATGTCGTAACTCGTTCTAAAGCCCAGTACGTCTGGAGTTCAGCCGTTCACTTGTGAGCTGTTGAGATGGTAAAGAGATTCGTTATGGTTCAGTTTAAAGTTCAGAAGAGCCCTATGCCAGTCATGACCTGAACTACAGTGGCCCTCTTACTAAAATGTTTGGACGCCCCTGCCTGTAGTTTAGCCCTTGTGTCCCCTTGCGTATAAACTGTGGCGGTCTATGCGTGACACCGGCGTCAGAACCGCGGCACATACAGGGTCCATGCCAACATAACTACAGCGGGGCCTCATCAGTGGGGGCGGGTCCCGGCTCAAATGTGTCCAAAATGACGTGCGCTGACATGCTGCAATACCACCCCGGGCCTGTGGGGGTGGACCCGGAATAAGAATTAGCCAATGCTAACATATAGCATCTTCTTACCTCTGGAAAACGTCTTTACAGGATGGTCCAAAAGTTGTCTCTTGGCCCAAAGCTCCGTTCCACATGTGTGTCACTGCTGAGCAGTGATGGGAATAACGGCGTTACTAGTAACGGCGTTACTAACGCCGTTACTTTTTTCAGTAACGAGTAATCTAACTAATTACTTTGACTGTAACTATAACGCCGTTATCATTTCCGACATCCCGTTACTGCGCGTTACTAAAGACGCACAATGAACTTCTCTTTTTACTTCGTGATAGGACTCGTGCGCGTGTTGTCATGAGAGAAGGATGAGAAAACCTCTCAGATATTATTGGCTGATGTAAAACATATTTCCTTTACAATCCACATGTCTACAGTTGAGAGGATGGCTCATAAATTGTGTTTTTGAAACAAATATGGGTCTTAGTCGCGCTCAACCACAGCTTGTATCACCGTGAGGTCAGCCACAGAGGAGCTCATGTGAGCGCAGAAGTCGGCTGCATACAATTCCATCGATAAGCTCCTTTCTCTTCCTGGTTTATCTGCTAAGAGCTGCAACACGTTTGGCTAACATACATATAACACATTTTAAGATAATTTAAAATGCACTAACGGTAATTTTTCAATTACTATAGGAATGATAAGAAAGAGAGGTGAAGTGTAAGACGGTTGATTTTAGAAATTGGATGCACCCGGCTGCACCTAGCAAAACAGAGTAGTTTACGGAGGACACACGCGTTTTGTTTTACTTTTTAAAACTCATTTCCAAATGGAGGATTACATATCTACGCTCAAACTATTATCTGGACTTAAACACAGAACTGGTCTGAACTGAAGTGGTCTGTGCAGGTCATTTATAAGGTAAGACCCATAACTCATAGTTTTGCGTTTTGTATGAACAAACAATGCGGCCATGAAACATATTTTGCTGTAGCCAAACAAATTGTCCACTTGATTTATATGATGTATATGTTCATCTGATTGGACTGAAGTCAGTGCTTCACCGGTGTTTCCACATTCACAGTGGCGGGTGAGAGAGAGATGGAGAGTGAACAGGACTTCAGCAGCAAAACAGACTTTTCTAGATGGAAATATTGGCACTATTTCAGACTCACTGAGGTTAAAGGTTAAAGGTAAAAATGCACACGTCGAGTGCACATTATGTTCCAGAACAAAACGAAAAAGTAACGCAATAGTTACTTTTACTGGTAACTAGTTACTTTTATAGTGGAGTAACTCCGTTAGTAACTCAGTTACTTTTTGGGAGAAGTAACTAGTAACTATAACTAATTACTTTTTCAAAGTAACGTGCCCAACACTGCTGCTGAGTGTTCTGGACCAGTCTAGTTTAGTCGCTGTGGACTTTAGAAGTCTCTCGTTTAAATGAGTGGGGCTCGTGCAGCTGACGCATGCGCAGGTGCGTTTTTTCACATTTTCCAGCCCCCGCTGCCATTTTGAATCACTCCATGAGAGCCCATTCTTTGGCGCATTAGTTAGACCTGCGGAGATGGGCCTGACTACGTCTGTTTATATATACAGTCTATGGGCCTCACACAGATGCATTCACACTGTTCCAGAGTTGGAAAGTGCTGAATCGTGCATGCGGGCTCCACAACCTTTCCTTTTTTAATGTATTTTTTCCCCGACGAATGTGAACGCCTCCTCTGCTGCACTGCGAGACCTCGCCTCCCACTCCAATCTCAGCTCCATCGCTGAATAATTAGAATGATGGACAGCTGGAATCACAACACGCACTTCAGGCTTTATTAAGTCAGACTTGCAGTATCAGGGAATCAGAGTATGGGAGGAGAGGGAGAGGGGAGAGAGGAAGGGGAGAGGGAGAGGGGAGAGGGAGGGGAGAGGAAGGGGAGAGAGAGGGGAGAGAGGAAGGGGAGAGAGAGGGGAGAGAGGAAGGGGAGAGAGAGGGGAGAGAGGAAGGGGAGAGGGAGAGGGGAGAGAGGAAGGGGAGAGAGAGGGGAGAGAGGAAGGGGAGAGAGAGGGGAGAGAGGAAGGGGGGAGAGAGAGGGGAGAGAGAGGGGAGAGAGAGAGAGGGGAGAGGGGAAGGGGAGAGAGAGGGGAGAGAGGAAGGGGAGAGAGAGGGGAGAGGGGAAGGGGAGAGAGAGGGGAGAGGGGAAGGGGAGAGAGAGGGGAGAGGGGAAGGGGAGAGAGAGGGGAGAGAGGAAGGGGAGAGAGAGGGGAGAGGGGAAGGGGAGAGAGAGGGGAGAGAGGAAGGGGAGAGAGAGAGGGGAGAGAGAGGGGAGAGGGGAAGGGGAGAGAGAGGGGAGAGAGGAGGGGAGAGAGAGGGGAGAGGGGAGAGGGGAGAGAGAGAGGGAGAGAGAGAGGGGGAGAGGGGAGAGGGGAGGGAGGGAGGGGAGAGAGAGGGGAGAGAGAGGGAGAGAGAGGGAGAGAGAGGGGAGAGAGAGGGGAGGAGGAGAGAGAGAGGGGAGAGAGGAAGGGGGAGAGAGGGGAGAGAGGAAGGGGGGAGAGAGGGGAGAGAGGAAGGGGAGAGAGAGGGAGAGAGGAAGGGGGAGAGAGAGGGGAGAGAGGAAGGGGAGAGGAAGGGGAGAGGGAGAGGGAGAGGAGAGAGAGAGAGGGGAGAGAGGAAGGGGAGAGAGAGAGGGGAGAGAGGAAGGGGAGAGAGGAAAGGGAGAAAGGAAGGGGAGAGAGGATAGAGAGAGAGAGAGGGTGAGGGAAGAGAGAAAGGGGGGGAAGTCTTCTCTCTCTCCCTCTCTTTATCTGCTGCTCTTTCTGTTCTATCGCGGCAGGAAAATAAGAAGCAGCGGAGGGCGTGCAGAGATGAGAGGAGTCGATGCTTCTGGGTTTGGCGAGTACGGAAGCTCAGGAAGGACAAATTAGAGACTGAAGGAGAGGGTACAGAAGGTGTGGATGCAGCGGGAAAGTCGCAGAGACAGATGTTTTTATCTGAGCAGA